CCAGAGCGCTGGCTAAAAGACCTACCCCAACCGGCCTCCCCCACCGACCCGCCTAACGTCTTCGTGCCCAAACGCGGCTCCTTCGTCCCCTTTTCCGACGGTCTACGCGCGTGCCCTGGCCGGCGCTTTGCGCAGACTGAAACTTTAGTCTCGCTCGCGCTGCTTCTGGTAAAGTGTAGTGTTGAGCTTGCGGTAGATGAGTGGGCGAGCGATGAGGAGGTTGAAAGGATGGGGAAGGGGGAGAAGGAGGTGGTGTGGGGGAAGGCGGTTGAGAGGACGAAGAAGACGATGGCCAATAGGGGGTTGGCTGTCTCTATCCGACTGGTTAATGGTGCGCACGTCCCTCTGCGGTTTGTGGAGAGGGGGCAGGAGAGGTTTGGGGATGTATTGGGATAAGGGGGGGGTGGGTTTTCTACTCTCTCTCCTCCGGGGCTGGCTTATTTGCGTGATTGATTGATTTTGCCAATTTTCTACCTTCGGAATGGGGTGGGAGTTCCTATGATAGTAACGAAGTCATGAGTGTGGGGTACGGAGGAAACGTTCTAGATTTTACCTAATTGCAATCGTTTGAGATAATAACTTTTTATTAAGAACCCCCTATCCCCACCCAAGCCCAAAAAAAAAAAAGAAAAAAGAAACCCCGCCATTTACTTCCGGCGGCTCCATATTATATAAATAAGACGGCAATTCCTAGATCTAAGCTATGGGGTGGTAGGGAGGGATGTCCGAATAAGGTTATTTTTAAGGTTTCGTCCGATGTGGAGAGCCTACCAGACTTTCAATCATACCCCAGATTCCCAATTGAGGATTTGGTAATTACTAATGAATAACAACAGCTTGGGATATTTAGTAAATCTGGATTCACTTGGGTGCGGGTTCTTTTTATTGAGACGGGATTATTTAGGTCTGATTGCTGTTGGTTACTATTTTCTCGGGATGGTGGGAGGAGGAGGAAGCAGTTTCCCCCTCCCCTGCTCGCCCTTGGCATTGCGGTTGTTGCTTCATAGAAGCTATTTTTTTCCATCATCTGTCCAAGGATGCAAGTAACAAGCACAAGATTGTCAAGTATTGCGGCAGGTATTGCGGCAGGTAATTACTAGTTATCAACGTCGAACAGTGGGGAGGTCTTTCTTTTTTGTATGTACGAGACGATGTCCAGGCTATGGCAGAAAATAGCCGAACCCCTCCGGATGGCGAATGTTTAACCAAACAGCAGAGTGTTGGGCCCATCCTGCTGTCAGACTCAAGCCATGCAAGGATTATCCAATTGTTGGTCTGCAGCAGCGATTTTCTACTTTTAGATATGACTCTGACCACTTACGATTCTTGCTTGCATTGCAAGAGTCTTTGGGTCATCTTTTTGCTTCCTTTTTTTAGATCATTGTAATCCGTGGGCCTCTTTTGAGGTTGGGCAGCCTGCGTAATCTGAGCCAACAACCGAAATCCCCTGACCAACAGTCTAACGGCGAGGCAGTCAACCGTTTGGATGTTGCCAGTTGGGTTAGAGGTACTAGCTATTGGGTCTCTTCGGGGACTCGAACTCACTGACAGCAACGCCAAAAACAACAGCTGTTTTTGGAATCGGTTTTTGTTCTACCAGTCATTAGTGTTTCCCATTAGCCTACACGACTCGTAGGTCTGAGCAAGCTCCGGAGGCTGACGGTAGCTATTTAAAGGGCGTGGGAGATCAATCTACGGAAGATATGCACAGCACTCAGTCACTGCTACTACTACTTCTTGTTACCCAAAGGAATGACTTTGTCTCCCCCTCTTTACTCAAGGTGAAACTCATAGATTTTCACAAAGAGGAGACGTTGCGCCTGTTTCAGCCACTTCTTGATATATAATTAGAGATTTAAAACCTCATCTGAACAATAAGAATCTATAAACTGTTCACATACAGTGACTAATGTTTTTACCATGGCTATCCCGACCCCATCTGGCAGGTCTGTTAGTTGGTTACCGTTGTCCACTCGCATTGTCTGTCCTGTGTGGCTGGGATAGATAGATTGAGCTTCCTAGCTGGATGTTAACTATTTTTGGAGTGGAGACACGAGCAACAGCCGATGACATCAAGGTCCTCAAGCTGGATATTTTCTTACTGCCCGACCACGCAGTATTTTAGGAAAGAAGATACAAATAATAGTAATAGCTGTTTCAAGAATCACTCCTGTTTGACCTTAAAATAAATAAACAGCAAATAAACGCATGCTGGCGTCGTCATACCGGGCTCCCGCGAAGCTTAACTCTTCACCCACTACCCAGCTAGGGTCTGAGCCTAACCCCGACTTCTGCCACCCAACCTCAACCTCCTCTTCCAACCCACCTCCACCTCTCCTCTCCTCCCCCTCCCCGTTTCCTTTTCTCTCCTCTCCCGTTCGAGTCCCCGTCCTGGGGCTATAATTCCAATATCTGGTTCTCTGCGAATACCCGCAGCAGCTTGCTAATTGCTGTGCACCATGCACAATGGTGAGTCCATGCTTCCTAGAGCTCGTTGGCAAGCTTGTGTCGGCTCCATGCGATGACATCGACCTTGCGCTTTTTCTCCACAACAGCCCCTCTAGTAGCTCTTTTTATTCTATCCCATCCTCAGCTCGCCTCTGTTGAATACCGCCAGCGCCCAAATTCGTTCTGTTTTGTGGTTGCTGCTCGCCGTATATCGCAACAAAATGCTGCCCACCCACCCACTCCACCTCTTCTTTGTCTCACTCACAGACCCGGTACATAGCTAACCGCTAACTTCGATTCTTCATAGGGCTGCTGTCTATCCTCATCCTCTCGAGGTCCGTGACTTCCCCGTCCCCAAACACTGCTCGAGTACATCGTAATAACTTTTGTCAACAGGAGCGCCTAACCACCCAGCCGCCCCCGCTAGTCCTACGCAGCCTATCCTAAACCGCGAATCACAAGAACCCGCATCTAGCACAGGTTTACGTTCCCAGTCCACTCGAGCGTCCCGTCATCGCCCTCGGGCTCTACTTAATGTTCCTCTCGATGTACACTATAACCAAGCCATCCGCCCACATGTCTGGGAGAGCAGACAAAGAGAATGGACCCGGGAGCAGCTGGCTCACGAGCGGGAACTCTTCTTCGATACCCGTGTGACCGGGAGGGCAGAAGTGTGGTCAGCATTGTCAACTGCTGTCTCCCTTTTCCGGGATGGGGATCTCGCCACTGCGCAGGGCATTCTAGATGCCGCTGGCGTGACGGTTCCGACGGGGGATATCTGCGATGGCTGCTATGATGAAAGCGGCGTTCTGTATCGGATTCCAGAACATGTCGTTGTGGATCCCGTTAACGTGGTGGAGTCCACTGATGCGAATGATAATAATACTATATGTGCGATGACTGCGGATCTTGACGAGGAAGTTGAGAGCAGCAAACTTGGAGTTGATGTCGATTCCGACGAGGACACCTTAGACGACATTGAAAGGCGCCGTGAAGAAAAGGGGAAGCTGATCGAACGGGACCTTGTGAAGGTTACCGCGAGATTAAGTGATCGAGGGGGCCCTGATTTGGTCATTGCGATTGGAAAGAACCAGACCGTGGCCGCATTGGGGCGTAAAATACAAGCCGAGGCTGATGTAAGTATATTTGCCTTACGCACATTGTGTCTCTCCGTCGTGTTATATCCTACTCCGCTGACTCTCCTTTTCACCGATATATAGATCACAGGCAAGCATCGCGTCCGAATAGCCTATCTTGGTAAGATGCTGGAAGAAAAACAAAGCCTACTTGCCCAAGGATGGAAAGAAGGCCACGTTGTGAACGCACTCGTCGTGAGGGGCCCACGGAATTGACATCCCCGCCGCTTTACATGAAGCCTCTCTCGAAATCTATCATATTTCCATCCATCTTCAAACTCGCGGCAACAACATAACAACACGCAACGACCTGCATTTTTCTACCTATTTCCAACGATTCTAGCGGGAGGAACAGGAGTTTTCTTTTTTATCTAACGGGGAGTTCATTTTCTGGTATTTCTCCAACACTTATTACTGGTGGAATGGTGTACTCTGATTTGATTTAATCTGCTATAATTTGCGAGGTGTTCTGGATTTAACTTTAGGCAGCGGAAGGTGGAGATCTATCATGACCACCATATATTCGATTCGATATAATGCCCCTGGCCAACCTTACGCCTTTCCTTTTTTTATTTTTTTTACCACTCGGCATTTGCTCTGCACAATACCCCCTATTTGTTTGTGGCTTTTTTTTTACATTGCCATATTTCATTCCCTTACGTTTATAGCAAACCTGCCATCCGGATGTCATTTCTAGTTATTTCATCCCTTTCCTTTCCTTCAGCCGTCCCCTCCCGCTCCTGTCCACCTTTGCAAACATGTCCCTTATCTCTCTCGTCACCCTCCCCCGGCCGAGCCTAACACGGCATATTAAATCCCCGATCCAAAACGCCACTTCTTCTACCATGCCTCAACAAAAGGGCTTCCCCACATTCTACATCTACCTATCCTCATTTCTCTCCTGAACCGCATTGCACTGTAACCACTGCTTCCTTCCCCTATCTGCCTCCCTCTCGTGTCGACCTACCCACCTCCGTTAATGTGTAATTAGTTCTCCATCATTTTGCAATCTGCTGATGCTATCTGTTATCGGCGAAGATCATTTCCAGTCTTTGATGACTTAAATATCGGTATTTAACATTCATTCCTTTATCTGCCTCCTTGCTCAGCACATACATACATACATACATACAATTAATCCTCTCTTCTTGTGAATAGATCTGCCTGCCCAAAAGCTCAACAAAAACCCACCACTTAAACTATCAAGTACTTAGTTAATCAAATCAAGTCAAAACGACCCAAAAAAGACCTAGGGAAGATGCAAAACCCTATTCCCGCCTCCCCTCCCCCCCCCAACTCCCGGGTTAGCCCGCCATAATGCCCCTAAAGTACAAGCGGCCTCATTGCAGGGCGCGCCCATTTCTCAAATCAGCATATTTAATACGCGAGTGGCGAACGAAGGGCACAAATCCGCCCGGTTTCATGGTCTAGTGGTTAGGACACCGGATTTTGATTGTCTCAGAAGTTTTCCGGTAGCCTGGGTTCGAACCCCAGTGAGACCTTTTTTACTTTTTTTTTTTTGTGGATCAGACAAAGCCTGAAGGGGGGGGGTTTTTTTTCCCTTTGCTGTCCCGGGGGAGGGGATTTGATTTGCAGTTGAGAAAATCATGGATATAGATCGCTCTCTGGCCCGGCTGGGTGGCTGGGTGGGTTGTGATCTCTATCTATCGATCCACCCCGCCACGACTCAAGAGTCGATTCGATACGGGAGTTACGATCAACGCGGATAAAATTGAAACTGTGAGATAGGTAGGCGCGAAGCACTGGGCCCCAGAATGATCCGGAAAGGGAGTGGCTGTAGGTAGTAGCAAGATACTAATTTTAACTGTTCGTAAAGTTACTCAAAACCCTCGCAGGCCCCTATTCTATTTCTCAGACTGCTCTGGGCTGGAAGTGCCACTGAGGATATAGAGCCTCTAGTCGGCGAGAGATTAAATAAATATATTAAGGAGGTTGGAGGAGGTAGGTAAGGGCCATGTGTGTCTGGATTAGAGTAAGTATCTAAAGCAAGGATAAATCCGTGATGAAGTGTCGGATGGGCCTCATGGATTCCTGTCATATAGAGTTTATAGACCGTATAACCGTGGATCAAGGAGTAGAGATTCTCTGCAACGTGTAAAAGGCACAGCATCAATCTGATGACGAACGGAGGGAGGGTTCCTGGGTCAGGATAAATAAAGCAAATAGACGTGTTATATATGTATAAACTAAAACAGATTTTCAGTCAAGAAAACAAAACTGGGTCATGTCGTTATAAAAGTTGGAAAGCACAAAATTGGAGTGTTCTTCCAGGAAAAAAAGAAAACAATGGGAAAACGCCGAAAACGCCCCGCGAACCTGATAAATTAAAAGGAGAAATATAGAAAGGTTCCTGGGAATAGAAGCTTGGGAAGGGGGAACGGGAAACGGGATTTGGCTGGAAGTAGATGGCGGATGGATATGTAGACTCTGACAGGTAGAATCCACCGATTAGACAAGGTGAAATTGCGAAAAACAGATAGAGGAGGAAAGGAAGTTGCGGATGGCAAAGGATAACCCCAGAACAATAAAGTCATCGCGTGAAAGTAACGTAAAGTCGTAGCATTACCCCACAAGCCCGGAGAGTTCCCGGTCACATGTAACCAGGGAATGGAGTACATTGACAAAAGACATTCAGAAGGAGAAAACAATGCTCCTCATAGAACACTAAGAGTCCGGTCCAGAGAGTAAGGGGGCAAGGGCAGTCAACGTGCGGGATGAACGTGAGGAGCAGTGGAGCACCCATCAAACTGCATGCTTCTGCATGATCCCGAGTTGGTAGCACCGGCCGGATGGATAATCGACGTGGGTTAGCGGAACTCCATAGCTCCAAAACACCCGCGGTTATCTACATGCTTGAGTTCGAGTTGTTGATACCTGTAGCAAACAAAGTATTCCTGGTTAGCTCCTTGACAAACGCTGAATGGTATCCGACGACATTTGACGATACATACTTTTCGCTCTTAGCATGGAAGTATATCCCGCTGACTGTCCCTTTGACTTGATTAAAGCAGATATAGTAAAATCCCTCAAAGCTGGCGCCGGAAATGGTCCGAACACGATGATCTGGTACTAAAAAGTACTCTTTCCACCTCATGAAGATATTCTCGCGCTGTGCAAAATTTTTGAATGTGAAATCGGGCTTTTTGGCGATCTTCGCAAGAGGTCTCCAGGCGTCAAACTGGGCCCAGTGCTGCATATCGGTTCTATCAGTGGCACCCCATGATTCATGCTGGGTTACGAAGGTATATTTTGTCCCGATTATCTCGCCTTCAAAGAAGGTGGTAAGTGTTGGGTGGTCCTCGGTGAGACCTGGAGTAGGAAGCTCAAATCAGTAAACGTCATTAAATAGGAAAGATGACACGCAAGACTCAATCCATACCTTGAATACCAAGATAGCCACAGAGGTAGGATTCCGCCATATCAACATGCTTGATTTCCACGTCGACATTGTATGTCTGGCGTTCTGACCGCTGTGTTCCGACAAATTTGCTGCCGGGCCTGAGGTAGGACGAGCAATGATTCGGGAGAAGCTTTACCGGAAATCATGTTAGCAATGAATTTTCGGTCCGGACTGGGTAGTATTCTTACCCTGACATTGGAGAACTCGTAGCCCATGGACGAACCGGTGCTGGTCGGGGTAAGGGCATGGTAGGGCTGGGCCGGCGAGCCCGCATCCGTAGCCACACTGGCTGCAGGGCTGGACGAACCCATTGTAATATCATCATCTGGGGTATTCATCGTCTGAGAAGAAGACTGGCTGGATATATCAATGCCCAGGGCAGGTGCTGGCTGGGAGCAGACATCCTGCGGCTGATTCAATTGCGACGGTGGCAGGCCCGAGGCGGTTGACGGCGATGGAGCAGCATCGTCGCCAACGTTGCGCACGACGCGCTCCTCCTCTGAAGCTCTCCAGACGGCGATCCGATCGATCTCGGGCGGACAGCTGGTCCGTGTGGATACGGGGTCGACGGGGTATGCGGAGGACAGGCGAGGAGGATTGACGCTCGGGGTCGGCATGGAGGGTGACTGGTTACAGTGCTGGAGGCATCAAAACACACGCATCGGGCACAGACACGGTAGAACAGACGTCAACAGAAGAATGGCGGAATGGGGGCCAGGAGGTGCTGTGGTGGAGGTGGTAGATATCCGAGATCTGATAGTTAATGGACAGTGGTTGGGGTGGCCAAGACGAAGACAACCACAGCAGCCGCTTGGGTCATGCGATCGCGGGGAAAATCTACTGAGGTCGCTGCACCACGGCCACCGCCGCCAGACAATTAAATATTTAATTCAATCTCTACGTGGGACTGCCCGGCGCGGGAATAATATTCATTTTGCTTTGTTTAGGTATGCTCGTAATTTACAAAGCCGTCATAAAACCAATCCCTCCCTCCCAACTCCGGGCCCTGCCAGCAAACAGTATCAAGGAAAACGTGCCATTTTGCATTCAGCTTTTTCGCCAATGAGATTCGTTTAAATCGGTTTGATCTGGACGGAGCCGCGTTAGTGACCGTCTGGCCGGGCGAGGGGAAGTAGGGACTACACGCCTTAAAATGCAGGGAGATCAGCGAGAAGACCAGCGCCTTGAGGTCTTGCACGAGATAGTAGAATACCCGCAGGCCTTCGGGGTCTGCAGATTCGGTAACGTCGACGAGAGATCCGATTTTTGCGGTCTAACTGGAGTCAATATCTTTGGCCCTGGCTGGTACACTGCTGTAGGGATATGGTTTACCTCAAAGGAGATGTGGTCGTTCCCCAGTCGGATCTCCAGTTCCTGTCGCCCGTCCTTGTTCTTCTGCGGCCATTTCGAGTCGTCTTCCCTGTGTAGTAGTCAATATCAACGAACCACCTAGGGGGATCTTGTCTGCCGTACTTCATGATCTCGCTTTCCTTGATGATGCGCTTGATCTCCGCAATCATGAGAGAGCTGACGCACACTGAAGTTTCTTAGCTCCGGACTCCATGGGCATTAGGGCGGCTGTACATACTCTCTTTGCGGATTAGGGAGTCGTTCCGGTAGTTGGAGTTGTTCGCATATCGGGCAGAGGCGCTGCGGCCGTCTCCAAGCGATCGGAAATCGAATTCTAGTCCTGTAAGTAACCGGAAAGCTGACTCCATGGACGCAGCGCGCGGCAGCCACTCACCTAGAAACTCATGTCCAAACCGCCCAGAATGCCCTGAGCTGGACGAGACAGTCAGCAGCTGAGGAGACCTGGGCCACAGACGGAGGCATCTTACTAGTAGCGAACATAGAACGGCTCGTTTGAGTTCGACATGGTGGCGTAGGGGGTCTGTCTACTCTCCTGTCCAGCAGATATCAAAGTCCGAGATTCTGAAGCGGAGGAAGAGCTGGTGGTGAGGCTGCTTAGTCATCCACACACTCGCATCCACCAAATGGCCAGTTGGACTCTGAGGCCAACCTCATCTCGCCCGACGACACCCTGCCACCGCCCGTTCTCCAATTGCCCTGTCCCGGCGCAGATGATTGCTTGCTCTGAGGCGCGGAACAGGCTCACTGCGACTACTGCTCTTCCCCCATTCCCCCGCCGTATGTTCTGTGTCTTCGCCCGTCCACCTGTCCGCGCTCCCAACTAACCTCCCCCCGCCAGTCTCCCTCGGCTGACCCTCCCGAGCACCCATCCCACCGGCCTATCCACCCCTAGAGCGGCAAGATGGCGTCGTATCTGGAGAATGCCTACAGCCTGGTGCATCAGGACAATGCTGCGGACCAGCCGTCGCTGCAGGACCTGAAGAACCAGCTGGAGAAGGGCACCGACGAATCAAAACAGGACACCATGCGGCGAATATTGACTGTGATGCTGAACGGCGACCCTATGCCCCAGCTGCTCATGCATATCATTCGTTTTGTCATGCCTTCGAAGAGCAAGCCTCTGAAGAAGCTCCTTTACTTCTACTACGAGATCTGCCCGAAACTGGATAGCAATGGAAAGTTGAAGCAGGAAATGATCTTAGTCTGGTACGGGCAGCATTTGGACTCCCTGCTGGTTGTCGGGCCTTGCTAACCACTGTCAACAGTAACGGCATCCGGAATGACCTACAGCACCCCAACGAATATATCCGCGGTAATACGCTCCGATTCCTGTGCAAGCTTCGAGAACCCGAACTCCTCGAGCCGCTCTTGTCCTCCGCGCGTTCCTGCTTAGACCACAGACATGCATATGTACGGAAGAACGCTGTTTGGGCCGTTGCATCGATATTCCAACACTCCGAGTCCTTGATCCCAGATGCCCCCGACCTCATTCAGTCGTTTTTGGAGTCGGAGAACGACCACACCTGCAAACGCAACGCATTCGCCGCTTTGCTCACTGTCAGTCACCAAAAGGCGCTAGAGTACCTAAGCTCTACATTTGATAGCGTACCAAATGCCGATGAGTTGCTGCAGCTTGTTGAATTGGAGTTCATCAGAAAGGATGCGATCCAAAACACTCAGAACAAGGTTCGTTTATGCTCTATTTTGGCA